GTCTTAGCTACATTTTGTTACATTTAGGTCTTGGACTCTGTTGTCCCTTCCTTAAACCAAATCTTTTAGGATGGAAGATACAGCTCCTTGGTACCTAAGATATATCCAGAACTTCATCCTCATCAGTATTGTATTTATGGACTCATGAGGAGCCAAATGGTAACAAAGCAAATAAGTGCATGCATGCTTCGAGTACACAAAACCACTGATTCTACTTTAGTTAACACAGCAAATAAATAAATCTCGTTGAAGTAGTACCTTCACATATGCTTTCCAAGTTTGTTTTCTCTTCATTGCTGAGTGTTTTGAGGCCTAGGTCAGAGTCTCCCTCAAAATTCTAGAGGAGGTGTCATCTGCATAGGCAATATTCTCCAAGCTCTGGTTACCTGATAAAAGGCTTGGAAAGAAAAAAAAACAAACCCTGACTTAATGTAGATATGACTATCCTGTTGACCCCTTTAGAAATAGGAGCTACTAATTTTAAAATCTGTTGATGCTGTGTGGGGAGATACATGGCCCGTGCAGTCAGCTACATGCAGCTACATACAGTCATGTTAAAATGCTTAGTATTATGGCAGTTTCTTATGATCAAACAGAAGTTGTGTCTCTGCTTAGATGAAATCCCCAGTTTATTTTGGGCACTTCATTGCTCTTGTTCTTTTATTGAAAATGCACAAAGAAACTGTTAGAACTATCACCACCTTACTTTGTTTAACAGAAGCTAAAATCCTGCAGCAGCTATCAAAAATACAAAATAATGTGAAGAAACTTCAGCAACAATTAAAAGATGTGAAGCCTACACCAGAATGTAAGTTGTGATGACAGATTTAAAAACATTTTCCTCTATAGACAGATTTCTTGCATAGTTGGGCTTGTGATTCTCCTGCAGACGTGGGATACTCCTTCTCCAGTCTGTCTGCTTTTCCAAAAATCTGGGAAGGGAAGAATGCAGAAATGTAAGAAATAGTGAAAGATCATGCAGTTTGGTGTGGAAACAGAGAAACTTATTCTGTCTTAGTCCAGTGTGGGTTTGTTTCTTCAGGCTCTTGAAAGCCACGTATTTTCTGTATGTAACTCTTTGCCTTATGTAAAAT